TCCAGGTGGGTCCAGTTGGCAATTTTCATCGTACTAGCTATTGTGCCTGTTACCACAGCTATCGGTGCGGTGTTTGTTTACCTGAAGGCCTTTTACCAGGTCAAATTTAACCAAATCGGTGTCACCGAGAAACGATCAAGCTTCTTCCCACTGGTAAACGCCTTTCAAAAGGTTGCCAATCGATCTAATGACAGGGAGCCGAATCATGGACTTGCTCTGACCAACGTGGGCCAGTTGCCATCTGAAAGTGGAGGCGTCGTCGGTGCCACAGTCAGAACCCGCCGGAGAACCGTGCTTATTGCAACGATGGAATACGATATAGAAGACTGGGGCATTAAGATCAAGATCGGTGGGCTCGGTGTGATGGCCCAGCTGATGGGAAAAAATCTATCCCAGCAGGACCTCATCTGGGTGGTCCCTTGTGTTGGAGGAGTTGACTACCCAAAGGACGATCCCCGTGACCCGATGGTTATTAAAATTCTTGGGAATAACTACCAAGTGGATGTCCAGTACCATCAGTTGCAAAACATCACATACGTCCTGTTAGACGCGCCTGTGTTCCGAGCTCAGTCCAAATCAGAACCATACCCTGCCCGCATGGATGACCTGAATTCGGCTATATTCTATTCTGCTTGGAATCAATGCATTGCCGAAGCTATGAGGAGATTTCCGGCTATCGACCTCTATCATATCAATGATTACCATGGTGCTGCTGCCCCTCTCTATCTTCTACCTCGCACGATTCCATGCTGTCTGTCTCTGCATAACGCTGAATTCCAAGGACTCTGGCCAATGCAAACTCCACAGCAAAGTCAAGAGGTCTGCAGTGTCTATAACCTTGACCATGCATTGGTAAAGAAGTATGTACAATTCGGCGAGGTGTTTAACCTTCTCCATGGAGCCGCCAACTATCTGAAAATTCACCAAAACGGATTTGGCGCTGTCGGTGTCTCTAAGAAATATGGCAAGAGATCGTATGCCAGATATCCTATTTTCTGGGGTCTCAAGAATATTGGAGCGCTGCCAAACCCTGACCCATCTGACATCGCCGAGTGGGATCAGAACGCAAACAAAACTCTCGACGACGTTATCATCGATGCAGAATTTGAAGCAGGTCGTGCCACACTCAAGAGACAAGCGCAAGAATGGGCAGGGCTCAAAGTTGACCCAGAGGCCCAGTTGTTCGTGTTTGTCGGTCGTTGGTCCATGCAAAAGGGCGTTGATCTGATTGCAGACATCTTCCCTTCCATTCTAGACGCTCACCCAAAGGTCCAGTTGATGTGCATTGGTCCAGTCATTGATCTCTATGGAAGGTTTGCCGCATTGAAACTGAATCGGCTCACAGAGCTTTACCCTGGGCGGGTCTATTCTAAACCAGAGTTCACTGCACTGCCGCCATTTATTTTTAGTGGTGCTGAATTCGCCTTAATTCCTTCGCGTGATGAACCGTTCGGTCTGGTGGCCGTGGAGTTCGGACGGAAAGGAGCGTTAGGCGTGGGATCACGGTAAGACTGACCTAACTTGAATCTACCACCAATGCTAACCTATCTTTCTGTAGTGTTGGTGGCCTTGGTCAGATGCCAGGATGGTGGTTCACAATGTGAGCTTCCTTCTCTCACGATTTGTTCAAACTAATCCATTCTAGCGAGTCTATGACAACGAAACATCTTATCCAACAGTTCAAGATGGCCATTAACGACGCTCTGAAATCTTCCCAGGAGACACGAGCGCTCATGCGTGCACGATCCGGCAAGCAGCGCTTCCCCGTAGCACAGTGGGTTGAGGATCTGGAAATCCTACAAACCGCCTCAATCCAAAAGCACGCCAAGTACTCCAAACACCACGATCGCAGTCCTCTGAGGATTTCCCATGCCAGCACCCTTGTTCCAGAAAGCGCTCGCAAAACCTCGTCGAGCTCAAATGACAGCCGCGAACAGAGCCGATCACGCAGCTCCACCGTGTCTATCCCGCCGACCACGCCGAATACGGCTGATATGAGACTTTCTGGGCCTCGAACAGGCCCTGACCACGTTCTTTCGCCGACAAATCTGTCTTTCACCCTGAACATGTCCGATAACGAGCCCGATTCAGATGCTAACCCAAGACGCAAACCCGTGTCCTTCAGCACTCTCGCCGACTCGCGAATCGTTTACTCTGCGGCAAGCGATGGAGAAGATCTCGAGCCCAATTATGGGGCCTTGCAAGAGAATGGCAGTGTTCTACCATCGCCACTTGGAACACCCACTTTTTATTTTGCTCGATCCGGTGCCAGCACACCAGTCATCGGTGCAGGATCAGAGTACGGTCTGCTGGGCCGAGGAGATGCAGGGGTGTCCATGATGAGTCTGGTCAGCGTCGATGACATAGTAAAGGAGAAGCAAGACTACAACCTTCAGAAAGTTGATCCGTTTTTCACGGATGCGAACAATGAGTACGCGGATAAGTTTGAGAAGAAGCTTGCAGACCTGAACGGCAAGAACTCCGAAGATCAGCTTTGTATCGAGGAGTTTCTTGAGAAGAGTGAAAAAGATTGGTTCAATCGATACCGCGATGTCAAACTGGGCAAGTCCCCCTTGCCTTCTCCTGCTCCCTCTGTCGTTCGCTCCATCGTTCAAGAAAACAGTCCACCAGGGACCCCGCCAGCTACTGGTCCAGCTGCAGACCCCAATGCCGGACAATTCCTTCTACCAAATGACTATGTTCCCCCCACAGGCTTGAAGCGTTTTATGCTGATGAAGCTGGGTGATTGGCCTGTGTACTCCATCTTCCTCGCTGTTGTGAGTTTCAAACCTACCAAAATCTTCCTTTCCTGCCGTTAATAGTGTTCTTTTAGGGCCAAATCCTTGCCTTGAACTCTTACCAGATCACGCTGCTGAATGGTGAGGTTGGAGAGACGGCCGAAAAGCTATACATTCTGGCTTCCATCTATCTTGCCTCTTCGATCGTATGGTGGCTGGTATTCCGTCTAGTCCCCTCAGTCTATGTGTTGACAATTCCTTTCTTTGTACGTTTACGTTCCTCTGTGTGGCTTACTAGATTGCCAGCTAACGATCCACAGATATACGGGTTTGCCTTTCTATTTGTTGGTCTTGCTGGTCCCATCCACAACAGCATGAGTCAAAGATGGCTACAAAATGTGGGAACCGGCTTGTATTCATTTGCATCTTCTAGTGGTTCGATTTTCTTCGCCCTAAACTTTGGAGATGAAGGTATGCAACAACCATCTTAGGAAGGAAGGATGGGACTCTTCTGACTTTTTCTTTTCCAGGCGGGGCGCCTCTGAAGTCTTGGATTTACAGAGCTACCGTTATCCAGGGCACTCAGCAGTTGTTCATCAGCTTCCTTTGGTACTGGGGTAGCTGGATGGCAGCTCTCAACCAGAAGGGTAGCACGCATTTCAGCCTTGCCATGACCGACCCAGGCGCTTTGCTCGGGATCGGAGTCGGACTCGCCTGTCTTCTGTGGCTATTGGGAGCCCTGGTCTTCTTTGGACTTCCTGCGTATTATAGACAAGCACCAGGTCAAGTGCCGACATTCTACCTATCGCTCTTCCGCCGCCGCATCATTCTTGTATGTCTCTTCCCGTTCTCGTTCAAGCTAACTTCGATTCTGACGATGTATCTGCAGTGGTTTTTCTACATGGTGTTCATCTCAAACTACTGGCTGTCGGCACCGTACGGACGAAACTGGCTCTATCTCTGGTCCAGCAAGCATGCACACGTATGGCAGATCGTGCTCCTTGTCCTCCTATTTTTCATCGTTGTCTGGGCTGCAGCGCTCTGGGTCTTTCACGTCTTCTCGAAGAGACACGCCTGGTTCATCCCGATCTTTGCCGTCGGTCTTGGTGCTCCTCGATGGGCCCAGATCCTGTGGGCAACCTCCAACATAGCCACTTACATCCCCTGGGCAGGCGGTCCTGTAGCCGGAGCTATCCTTGGCAGAGCACTATGGCTCTGGCTCGGAGTTTTGGATTCCCTTCAGGGTGTCGGTAAGTTTGCTCTCATAGAGTATCAACCGTCACACAGACTGACTCATGGCACCACAGGGTTTGGAATGATCCTTCTCCACACAATGACTCGATTCCATGTCACTTTCACACTTCTAGCCGCGCAGGTGGTCGGTTCCATCGCAACTATCCTCGCCCGCGCCACAGCCCCGGATAAGCTAGGCCCTGGTAACGTTTTCCCAGATTTCTCCGCCGGTGTCGCAGCCGGCGTGGGGAAGGCAGACTTCTGGGTCTGTCTGCTCTTCATGCTATCCATTAACGTGATCTGCATCTTCTTCTATCGCAAGGAGCAACTCGCAAAACCTTAAGCATTGTTCCAACCTTGACCGGCGTTTTCTTTTCGTTCTGTTTTCCATCCAGTTGCCATCGGGGTTATCTCTTGTGATTGGAGGGTTTATCATACTACAGTGGGTTGCATTTTCTGGGGCGCCAGAGACTATGTAAAGATCGCCCCCTATTTTGGATTTGTATATAGTGTATAAACAGCTCCTGGTTTACAAGTCCTGTTGATGTTCAACTTGAATATCTCTGTAATGCTGAATAGACATCCCATCCCAAATCATAGGCAGTCTTTCCCTTGTCATTTCTCACGTTTGTACTTCATTGAGCAACCTTTCCCATTCGATTGAATTTCCGGTCAAGCGGGGCGTCCCGATCACGCAGCAACATGGACCGGCACCCCCCACAGCCTAGATAGGACAGTTTAGCCTAACTCCATGCAAGGGTTCGCTTTAGGACTAGTCAGGGGAACTGATTATTCCGAGCCCTTTTATAAGGCACCAGGGGAATCTATTTTTTCACGATAATCCTTTGTGTTGCAAATTGCCTCGAGTTGTTCTCCTGCCACTCTTTTCAGGATACGGTCATTCAATCTTGTGTTCCAATCTTTTTGTATTTTTCTTTTTTTCTTTTTTTCTTTTTTTTTTTTTCAAAAAATCCTTTCCATCTTGAATTTCCTTTTCTAGTCGCTCGTTCTTACCCCATGTATCGCCTTATGTTCTCATTCGTCGTGGCTCTCTGCCTATACACGCACTGGGCAGTAGCTGCGTTAACCTCGGGTGAAATTGCCAATTCTCTCAATGAACTAGCACAGCAAGGATTCGCTGCCAAGGCTCTCGTATTGGAAATCGATTCCACCGCGGATGCTGGTCCTATTCCGGTAAGTGAGTTATTTACGTCCCTGAATAATAGCTCACAATCAAATGCAGGATATCTACACTGCGATTGACACGATGGTCGTTGTGGTTCTAACGGATATCAACTTCGTGGTGAACACGCCGATCATTACCGATCAGGCGGAGCAGCAAGACGTCTATGAGGGATACTCAAACGTAGGTGGATGACAGCTACGAAGTCAAGCAGAGTCATGCTGACTGACTTGCGTTAGTTTGTGCAATCTCTTTTCGAGCTCATGGACGCCTTCTCGAGCAGCGCAGCCCAGTTGAAATCCATCAACCAAACAACCAAGAACACACTTCCCTCTGAAATTCGGATCCTGCAAAGTGCCGTTGACGTGAGTTTCCGTGTTGATTTTTTTTTGGCTACGACTTGAGTAAATTGTCGATGAGATGCTGACACCTCACGAGGCCTACTTCTACAACATCATCGGTCTCTTCCCGGCCAACAGCTCGTATAACGCACAGGCCAACAACCAGAAAGCCCAGGTGGATACGCATTGCTTCCAGGCGGTCTGGGCATTCGATCTTGGTTATCATAATGCCAGTCAGGTTAATTATCCAGCGCGCCGCAACAACTCCCTCCACTCTCGATGGATGAAACGCGGTTCCTTGTGAGACCGTGTCTATGTTGAAATACCACCTGGTGATATACTCCGTAGTTGAGTGGCCCATGGTAGACCTGGGAGATGGGTGGGTCCTCCCAGCCAATGGGATGCCCATTTAGCCCATTGTGGACGCACACTTTCCCCGCCAGCGTCAGCATTAATTTATGGTCATTATCTAAAAGTACAGTCATGAACTAAATTACAGCCTCTAAGGGGTAGTTTTCCTGACCCATGGGGGTTATGGGCACTGTAACATGGTAGAATCAAGTAAGGGCATGGGAAAACTAGTGGGGCGATACCTATCCTTGAATCACGGTGGCCAATCTGAGCAAAGGAGAACATATATACTCGAGCATCGCCAAAAGTAAGGGACCTTTTTTTTGGTAGACTCAGAAATTCATGTCAGGGCTTGCCAAAGCGGGGTTCCCGCGGAGACTCGAAGATTCAACCCTTCTTTCTAAAAACAAACCTGAGTCCCTAAATTCCCCAGATCTCTAATCTTCACAGGGCCTTGATAGAAAATGTATTGCTGCATAGGGGAATATCAACGAGCGTCATCCTTCTGATTGGCTGGGCCTTCTACCTATAGGCACTTTGATTTTTTGAGTCTCCCTCAACTGAAACCAACCCATATAACTCCCAATCTGCCAGCGCTCGGAGCATGTGGCACAACCGACACATCTAAATAAGCCTCTTAATACCTCCCGGAGTTTTGTGCAAGTCTCCCCGAACTCCGAGAACGATCAATTTCACGGCATAGGTCGAATGCAGCAATAGTGCGTTGGGTGTGTGATTGGATGGCGGGAAAGTATTTGATTTGGGGTAACTATGTGAAGTTGGGGTATGTAGGATGTCGAAAGCTGTGTTGGGGTAGAAATCTCTGCCAACTAAGAGGTAGAAATGGATCTTCATATAAGATTAATTCATTCGATAGCTCGACTCTGATAGCTCCGCAACATCGATTGAGGCCGACAGTAATCTTCTAAATAGACTAGGAGAACGATTGACCACTCGACCCGGGCAGATTCAATGCAACAGAGTAGACAAGTAAAATCAGTGTTAAACCATATAAGTTGTAAAAAAATCTCCGTAGTACGATTAATACGAGTTCTACCGTTATACCACAGATTAGATCAGTTCACTTTTTTAACATCGCACCAGCCTAAGCGGGCAATTTGGCGGAGTAGGTGGGTTCCTGTTCTTGAAATCGTCGCAGACCTGTCACATCGTCATAAATTCACCACTCTCGTGCTTTTTGAAATGTTCTATGAGCTGGTCGAATTTTTTCCCACTCTGTACGAAGTCAGTATCACAGCGTACCTGTCATACATCAGCAGCACATGAGGTCTTCCCAACCCATCCGGGTGGGTAGTAATGGGGAAGAGAAGCCCATCGCACTCGCGGTAGGAGTAATCAAGATGGTCGCGCCAGATATCTTCCACGTCGCACGGGTTGACATAACCATGACTGTTGGGCGCGTTCTTAATGAACATCATCGGCGGTAGATCATCAATGTACCAATTAGATGGGGTTTCAACAAGCCCTGTTTTGTATCCATGCCCAAGAGGCTCCATTCAATTTCGACCTTCTGTGTGTAATTGATCTGGGTCCAGCTGTCGCCGGTTCGAAGGTAGGAAGCCTGGCAGTCCTCGTGGCTCATGCTGTGGCCATACTCGATGCCGTTGTCGAGGAGAAGCTGGGCTCCTTCTTTGCTAGTTTTCCACATATTCGTAGTTGATCAAAAAGCGCTGGTGAATTGCCAATTCAAAACAGTCGTACCAGGTCCTCCGTGTAGGTCTCGAGGGTGTGGCCGGGGATGAACCATGTTATTTTGATATCCGATTTCTTGAATAACTTCAACGATCGTTGGGTACCAACTGTGCCGGCCCACGATCCTATATGATACTTAGACGGTAAGTTCTTCCCAGAAAGAAAATACTGAGACCGACCCCTACTGATGTCATTTGTGGTGCCTCTCCACCATACGAGCTCAGCCAGCCAGCCACAGCATCAACATCCACGCCATAGGTAATCAGTACTTGCGTTGGTACTATAGTAGATAAAGAATTGTTTCTCAGGCTGGGCCAAAACGAATAAATACAAATCAATCCATCCGAATGTAAACCATACAAGTTCTACACCATCGGAGGTCCCTTCTCCAAATGGTCCCACCTTTATCGCTTATCGGGGACCGAAAGTCCCGGCGGGCCCCGAGTTGGAGCAGTTGGGGTCGAATCTCCCACTTTCGACATCCACTTGTTCAACCCACCTCTTCGTCTCCAAGTCAGTTCTCCATATTCCCCCAATGTTTCAATGTCCCCATCACCCCAGCCGCATAGGGGTGCTCGTGGCGCAAGGGCACGTATTTGTATACACTGCGGTCGGAGTTTCCGACGGACCGAACATTTGGAGCGGCACATTCGTACCCGTAAGCAATTTCCGGGGAGATCCCCGCAGCTAATGCTAACTTGGTAAACCAGATACCAAAGAGAAGCCGTTTATTTGCTTCTGTGGGGCGGCCTTTACTAGAAGGGACCTATTAAAGCGTCACACACGCATCGCACATCAAGATGGGCTGACCTCGCCGACGCCGCCCGAGCCAACGACGAAGGCGGATCTCCAGGCGCATCATCCTGTGTCCATCTCGCTGCAATATGATACACCTACTAGGCCTGTACCCGTAGAAACCCTTGCAGGATCATCGGTTGTGCAGCAATGGGCTGGGGCACAGAATGTGCCATATTTAGACCCGAATCACAACACCGGCATGCTTCCTGCAGCTACGGGGGGAGCCCCAAACACAGCGATTGATCGCCATACAGGTACGGTGCATGATGCGGACATGCTTCAAGCTGCTCAACTGCTTCTTCCAGGCGATTACCGACCTATAGGTGCGTTCACCTTCTATGGTTGCTCGAGTGTATACTTCCCGAACATCTCGTGCAATGTTCTTTAACCTGTCGAGTTGATCTTTTGTTTAATCTCTCGTTGTTAGAAACGTATTGATCTAACACAAAGACAGGACAACCGATGCCCTACTTGCCCGAAGATCCAAATCACATCCAGGAATTCACCCATTTCTTGGATTCAGTTGGCTTGCCGGGGGAATGGGTTCCCAGCGATGGTGAAACATCCCAGACACAAGACATTAACCCGGAAGACGCAAGAGAGACTGCCCGACAGACCCAAGAGCACCATGAGCGGCCACGGCGAAGCGGAGATGGTTCTCGTGGAGACTCACCATTCAGATCTTGGCTTCCATCTGTGCCGAGAGGTGACCAAAGCCTAGGAACTTTGTCTGATTCTGGTACAGAGCACCTTATATTTCTTCAACTCTAGACTACTGACGAAATCCCAGAACTTTCCCAATACGCGAAGAGGACATCCCGATTTAATGTCACAGAAGATCAGCGGTTTCGGCTTGCGGCATCTCTCGAAGAATTTCGAAATGTCATTCCAGATTTCGTACTGCCGTCCCGTCACACATTGACTCGGTACCTCACGTCCTATTTTGAAGGATTCCACCCTCATCTTCCCTTTATGCATGTCCCAACTTTTCGTATCAATGAACATTTCCCTGAGGTGATTCTTGCTATCATGACGATCGGAGCCCAGTACAGATTTGAGCACCGCAACGCAGAACGAATGTTTCACGTTTCCAAGGCGGTTCTATTTGAACGAATGTCCAGAGAGCCCCTTTTCCCAGCCAAGCAAAATTACAATTCTGGCTCTCAAGAACCGCTGGGAATATCTCCTTATTCTAACTTGGGCGATCAATCCCTCACGCAACCGCAGGTCATGGCGGAACGAACTGCCATTTGGAAGAATACTGAAATCACTCGCTGTCTTCTTATTCTGATGGGCTACTCCACGTGGGAAAGTGCCAGACTGGTACAAGAAGCGTTTCACCTTCAGGGCGTGTTGGTTCGACATCTCCGCGAGGCTGGCTTGAAAGAAGATGCAACCCGCTCTGATCCACGCGTCCCGCTTGACTGGTACCAATGGGCGGACCAAGAATCCAGACGACGCACAAAGTTGACAGCGTTCTGCTTTATCCATGTTCACAGCATCGCATACAATGCTTATCCATCTTTACGTAGTAATGAGATACACCTGCGTCTTCCGTGCTCTACCATTGAATGGACCGCTAGCACCGCTGCAGAATGGGAAGCAGCCCAGCAAGAACGAGGTCCCCAGCAGTTGTTTTTCCAGGATGCCTTGACTCTGCTTTTGCAAAAGTCCCGATCAGTCAAACCACTAGACCCCATCCCGGCTCCACTAGGTAACTACATCCTTTTGCACGGACTCCTGCAACGAATCCACCTTGTGAGCGAGTTATCATTACCGAACGGTAACCACTCAACAACCCTCCCAACAGAGGAACTGAATAAACTAGAGTAAGTCCTCCGCTTGGCAAATCTTCTCCTATCTCCACTTCTCACCATCCGAACCATAGACGAGCTCTCCGCTCTTGGACCTCTGTGTGGCAACAAGCCCCAGAATCCAGTCTAGATCCGCACAACGAAAACGGTCCAATCCCATTTACCTCCAGTGCATTCCTCGGACTTGCTTACGTCCGCCTATCCCTAAATCTCGGACCTCATCGCCGCCTGGAGACCCGTGACCCGATCATTATCGCCACCGCACTTCGCCACTCTCCGCGCCCAGAACGAAGCTACCGTCTCACCCCGGCACTGATATACGCCGCTCATGCCCTCAGCGTCCCCGTCCGTCTGGGCATAGACCATATTGCTCGCAGTCAAGCCTTCTTCTGGAGCGTGCGGCACTCGCTAGCTAGCCTGGAATGTGCAGTTTTGCTAAGTAACTGGTTGTTTACCCTTGCCGAGGCGGGACCCGACCAGTCCTTGAGTGGTGTGTTCATCCTGATGTCCTGTCCGCTGAAAATTTGTTATCTGCTAACTATTCTGATGTAGAACATGAAACTCGCATTCTACGCTGGACCCGCCGCATCATCGAAGAGGCGTATTCGTCTATTGATACCGACGAAGGCGAGGCACCGCCAGATCTGGAACCAGCGTCTTTGGGATTGGCCGTTCTGAAACTTTGGTCTAGGTTATTTGGAACAAATACGCAGTGGCCGTTTATTAATGTCCTTGGACTGAGCTTGGAAGAGTATATACGTATGATTTGATGGTGATGTAATGTTTTTTTGGCTTATTTATATATTCCTGCCTATTGGAATGTAATGGATTCACGATTGCACCGAATTTTTCATGTTATTGATAGCTGCGAAGGGGTGGAGCAGGAATCATACCAGGGGGGCCCGCCTGGCATCTCGCCTTAGTCCCATGTGTCAAACCACGAATATGGCCCCGCTAGGCCCTAAACAGGAACCTTGGTTTTTGCAATGGTCTAGTGGTGAATACGCTGCATTTCGTTCGACGACATTGTCAATCCTCATGTGGGTACCCCTCCATTGCCACACGAGAATGCGGTTTCGTTTATATAATCTATTTCACTACCGAGCTGGACACCCCCACCAAAACGCGTCAATTAATGTAAACCCTGCTTCTTTAACCACCCACTATGCCACTAGTACGCCCTCGAAGCTCTAAACATATAGAGTAAGAGGGTAGGATCTTACTAGCTATCTAGGCTTTTCAAAATTAAGAAATCT